GCCATCACAGCCTCCTCACACACACTGTGGAGCCGCATGTCTGTGGTCAGCCCAAATGTGTGCATGTGTTCTAATGGAGAAGAGCTAAATGAGCCCAGTGCACAGATGCTGAGACTCATGTCATTAGCAGCTCAGCTCCACTGCTCAACCATGGCCAGCTGTGTGCACGGGGCATGTGCTAGTGGAGATATGTAGCTTTAAACATGTGCTGCTGACTTGATTAACCTGATTATATTTGACTCACTATACAGTGTGACCAGCTCTTGACATTATTTGTTTACATTAATGTCTATGAATAACTTGACTGTCATTTGTTTTCAAAATAGCTAAAATAGCTATAGCATGCACGCTGCATCATTAATCATATTTAAATTGAATCAAACTCTTGATCAAAACAATTGCAGACTGCAATTATTGATTTGATGTTTTGTTTTGTTTTGTTTTTCAAAAAACAATAATTGGTTGGCTCTTATTGGATAGTGTCATCTCAAATTTAATATAAATATAACAGTTTTTCTTTCAGACAATTTACATAATCTGAACAGTTTGAAGGTTCACAAAGTACTGTTTGTTATCTAAACAGACAGAAATGCTTGTTTTAAAGGGCTGTTACATCACGCGTCAGCCCATATGCACTCACCCCAGGGAGGCTATTAAAATTCCGCCTTCAGTTGTCTGAGAAAAGCCTGCTTTGTAAATACAATTCTGCAGTTTCTGAATACTGCCGTTCTTTCCTTTTCACGGTTTGTTCATTAGCATTATTTACGTCTGTATCCTCTTCCTGATCCACATTGATCCACTCTGCTCTGGGCCAGTCCACAGAGAGACACCGGAGATGGGAGGCAGCGCTCCACCATTTTACACTCCAATACATGTCCACTGGTCTCAGGTGAAAAAGCTAGCACCTAGTCCCATCTGGATCTCCGGACCACCTAACAACCTAATTACCGGGCTCCGTTTGACTTTTCCTGCCTGTTTTATTGGCCTCATGTCTGACACTGGAGGGGCAATACAAAATGTCTGCCGGCCATATCCAGCTGATGCGGTTTCTGAGATAGCAGGATGTGGTTAGTTAGACAGGTATCCAAGGGATTTTAAATGGAGCGTCTCTGTGGAGAACCAGCACCAGACTAGCCCTATACAGTATATGGAATGTACAAGAATTAAGTGTGGTCAAATGCACAGGGTAACATATTACAACATTCATTCATAATATAGGTCATGGAAACATGTACATTTTACTGTATTGTTTTATCTGCAAAGGATTCTTTATTTTCTGTAATGAAATGTCTGGAGAGATGTTAAGTTGAAAACTTTTTGCGGGTACACAACATTGACAGTTTATTGTCATGACAAATGTTTTCCAGAGTACTTGACAGTAATTTGTTTCATGCTTGGTAAACAAGAGCACCCCATGCACTTTTGTGTAAGAAAATTGGTTACAGTTGATTTTATATTTGTATGTCAGAATAGTCAGAATATGTAAGAAATTACATAAAACCATGTATTACCTTGTGTCTTGTTAGTGCCACTAACAAATGCGATCATGGGTTCTACCTTTTGTGCTGTGTTAGGATTAATATTTAATTGTTGCTTCAGGTTTAATCAGTGATTAAGCTTAAAGGGAAGTGGAAGTTAAAACATGAATATGATTATGACCTTGTAAAAATACATTAAGTAGCTTTGCTTAAACCCTAAAGCATTTTACTTTCTGCCATTTGCCTGGTGGATTATAAGAAATCCTTTCTCTTCGTCTTGGATAACTATCCTGTTTCAGTTCTTGTATATTTGTCTATAATTTTAAATGAAGAACCTCTCTAGTAGAACTGCGTGTGCCTCATCCTCGCATGCTTCTGTGTCACGTTGAGGTTGTTATGGAAACCAATTCTCATCTCCACCTGTTGCCATGAGAGCAGCGCATTGATGACGTGGTTTATTAGGCACCATTTTAAGGCCAGGATGTGACTCGTGGGAATATTGGCTTTCTATAAATGGTAACACTTAATATAGTCACTGACTTTAGACATACAGGTTCCATTATTTGCTGTTGTAATTATGTCAAATGTAGGTGGATGAGAGGCTGAAGATCATTGGCGCGGAGGAGAGTGAGTCATGTTAAGATGTGGGGCAGTGGAGCATCGGTCCTTTGTTTTGATGCCAACTTCAGACAAAAATGATTAACTTTGTCAGTGTTGAAAACATATGCTACAGACTACTGATATAAGTGTTGTAATTGTATTCAAGAAGACAGGATATTGGCAGATTTATATCCATAGATCTGTCCACAGAGGCTTTAGTGACGCATGGGCCAATGCTCTGGGGAGAAGACAGCTCTGTGTGGGCAGTGGAGTGAAACGTCTCTGCCACATCAAAAATCGTGACTCACTTTTGGTGGAGCACAGCAAACCCCTGCTAAGTGTTGCGGGGTAGTTTACAGATGCTCTTCTCTAACAACAAAACTGACGAACAGGTGGAAGACTGAAAAAAAGACATAGGAATAAAATGGAAACACACTCAAGTTTATAGATGGCAATCATTTAATAATAGTAGTTTAGTTAGTTTAGTTTATAAAGCATAGTTTAGTTTAGTTTAAGCAAATATAGCTACCCTAGATTTGCTCCTACTTAATACTACTTGAAGCCGTAATGTCTATGAATTCAGCAACCTCAGTTATCATGTTTTATATCTTCATGGATATTGTACAGTTCACATCTACTTAATTAGTGTTGCTTTGGTAGGGGAGGTTTTTGTAAATAATAAATGGACTATTGATTACTACGTCATTTGCTAATGGAAACGATATAGAAATTTCAAGTAATGAGCGAATATAATTTCCATCTGCATTGAAACCAAAGACATTTTGAAAGATTTCTTCCAAAAAATACACATTGAGATTTTATCTGGCCAAAGATTATATTTATCAGCTTGGCCTTTGCACTTGCACCATCTCAGCATCTTTAGCTCTCACTCAGCTGAGATGGCCTCTTGCTAATGGCCGCTATGGATTGTTCCAGGAGAGGGGAGCAGGGGCGGCGGTAACTTTAACCCCCTCTTGGTTACTTTCTCCAATTGGCATGGCTCTGGTTTCCCTTTGGAGGCAGGTCAAAGGGGAACAAGACTTAATTTAGCCACCTGTCGGTCTAGCTTCTCTTCCCAATATGGACACCCCCACTGCTCTCTGCACCTTAACTCTCCATTGTAGCGCTTGTTCAGTAGCATCATCTTGCATATGTAGGCCATAGCAGTGTTAGCGTGTCTGCTTTCTGAGGACACTCTGTGCTTTGCTGTCAGCATGTGACCTGCGGAGGGCGATATGCAATCCCTGTCTCTCCACATCTCCTGCATTATTGATAAGTGCAGCAGTGAAATCCACAGCACAAGCCACTCTGTCGAGGGCGTCTTGATTCAAAGCATTTCTCGTCGAACACCCTCACGTCAAGGAGATGAGAGTGCATTCATTTCCTCATTAGACAAATTAGCATGAAATAAAGCTAATTGCAAATGAGAAGAGTGCTGACGGTAACAATAGCAGAAGTGCAGATGCGTAGTCCAACTGCAGTCTTTGTATTGGTGCACTGTTTGGATGGTTGCTAGGCTCTTGAGGCCTGTAGATTACTTTTATTAGATTTTCTTTCTGCTCTCCCTCACTGTGCCCCCATACCTCTGTACTTGTGGTGATGAAGGTATTTAGCTGCCTGCAAATAAATTCTTTGCATTGGCCTCAACAATATATAAAAATGTGTTTACTTAAGATCTGTCCTAAGCAAGCAGTTAATACAATTTCAGTGCTGAAAATCTTCTCAAGTTAATGTAGCTACCTCTCTCTTGACTGACCACCTCTGTACCTCCTCAGAGCAGTGAAAGCAAGTCCCAAGGGTCAGTGTGAGTGTGACTGGGAGGGACAACATGCCAGGGATGACTGCAGATTCGGCTTCGTTAACAAGTGCCTATAGCCTCACACAATGCAAGGACAGAGCTCTAAGCTACATCACTTTACTCCAAGAATAACCTGTTGGTAAAGTCCTGTGAAATGTGATGACGTACTGTACTGCGCAAATATGTCTAAGAAAGGTTATGCAAAGGTTTGTAGCAATGCAGAAAATGAAAACAGATGACAGTTTTGAGAACCGTGTTTTACTATGACATTCTCTTATATGCAAAATGTTGTGGAAACATTGCCAAAGCATTTTTAAAAGATGAAAAATGCTAATGACATTCATAACCATTATCCCTTCATATGATGTTAGTCCAAATATAGCAATGGTAAAGTGGTGTGATTGAGGAACAAGACAGAGTTAGCCAACATAGATCAGACTGAGCTCTCTGTAAAACAAGAGACAGACTTTTATGTTGATGGTGACTGTATTAAAAATATTGCTGTTGCATTTGTGCAAGTTTTTTCAGAATTTGACAGATAGTTCATGCATACATTTTACTTTCAGATTCTTTGCCCTGATAATGAAACAAAAAACAATAACAACTATGAGTTGAACGTGAAAATTTTAACTGTGAGAAGAATGCTAGTCATTTTAGCCATTCAAAAATTTACTGTTGTTGCTAGTTGGTTGTGCAGCTTTTGCAAAGATTGTGCTCTATGGGATTGAATGGATTTATACAAAGCATAATCATTTGGGCAGTTTAAACACTTGATTTGTTTATACTTATTCATCCTTTATTTGTTTTGTCTCTTTCAGCTATTCTCAACCCCAAAGCTCCAAAAGAACCAGCAAAGACATTCAGTTTTGACTATTCCTACTGGTCACACACTTCGGTAAGTCCAGTATAATTGATAGAAAAATGTTGTTGTTTTTTTAAGTAAAATAGTGATTTGACTACTGGTAATTACTTTCTTTGTTGTTGCACAGCCCGATGACCCTTGCTTTGCGTCACAAGACCGTGTATATAATGACATTGGAAAGGAAATGCTGGAGCATGCCTTCGAAGGCTACAATGTCTGCATCTTTGCTTATGGCCAGACTGGTGCTGGCAAATCCTACACCATGATGGGCAAAGAGGGGCAGGAAGGAATCATCCCCATGGTTTGTGATACCAAATTTTGACCAACCATTTTTTAATTTTCGAATTTTGTATTACTAGTTACAACAGTGTTTTTATATTCTTCTTACACAATACTGTACAGATTACTCACAACATTATAACCTTCCCTTCAATTGAAAGCATACTAAAACTATACATGACCTTGTGCTTTTATTTTGTGTTAAATCATTTTGATATTTGCTCTGTTTAGCTCTGTGAAGATCTATTTGAGAAAATCAGTTTAGACAACAACAAAGAAGAGCTCTCCTACTCAGTTGAGGTAAACCAGTCTACCATATTTGTTTCTCATGAACATCCCTGGACTTCCCCTCCATGACATACTTTTAATATCATATGATAACTGTGTGTAATGATTTGTAGGTCAGTTACATGGAGATCTACTGTGAGCGGGTCCGGGACTTGCTCAATCCCAAAAACAAAGGGAACTTGCGAGTGCGTGAACACCCCCTTCTTGGCCCCTATGTTGAGGACCTGTCCAAACTTGCCGTCACCTCCTACACAGACATTGCAGATCTTATGGATGCAGGAAACAAAGCCAGGTATATACAGATAACTACTATAAACTATGCACAAAAATAACACATACATTTACATATAAAGGAACAATGAAAGGATAACAGTAAGGTGAACCATTTTCACCATTCACTAATTTCACTAAAAACTCAGCATTTAAAGTTGCAATTCATGAATTTCAACTGGTTTGGTATTGGTATCCAATTTTTGTCATACATAATTATGTAATAGTTCACTTATTTTTGAATATATTTTTGAATGTACCTTTGTGCCCTGACCCAAAATGCAACAAAATGTTATCCTCTTTGCCAATTCTGTGCTACTACATTGTGTTCATTTTGTGTTTATATTGATTGGATTGTGATTAGTCCATAGTTTTAATTATGGCAAGATTTTTCCACAAATGTGTACCTCTGAGCGTGTGATATGTGTCTTAAGTCACGGGAGCTCCTTGGGGAGGAGTGAGCCCTGTCCTAATCTTCTGTGCTGACTCAGAGGGCTTATTTCGAGAACATGCTGTGTAAAGCCACTATCTCCCCTGTGGCCGTGCTCCTCCGCTCCCCACTGTATTTGTGTTCAGCATTATCCTTACACTTATCCTCCTCTGCCATATAAAGCAGTATCTAAATTCTTCCTAACAGCCTAAAAACCCAATGGCACTTAATATATACTGTCATTTAAATATGTCAAGTGCTGGTTTTCAAATCACACCACCACATTTTACAGGCCTGTAGTGTACAACATTTTTACTAACTTAAAAATGTGAAAACCTAGTACATTTTTAAACAGTTTGTTGTTGTCCGAACATGTGCCTCCCTTTCATAACAGATTGAGTTATAAACTCTTGTCAGGTTACAGACAACAACAGCTAGCATGCTAACAGGGCTATAGAGCTAACTCTGCTTCACAGAGGAAAAGCACAGCCGACAGCACTTTTTGTTCACATTTTGAGAGCTGCATATTCACAATTTTTTAATCTGTAAACAGACAATAATTTGTGAATTGAAGTAAAGTCAAGCTTCTGACTATGTGAATGTACTACATGTTTTTATTTACAGGACTGTGGCAGCCACCAACATGAATGAAACCAGCAGCAGGTCACATGCAGTGTTCACCATTGTCTTCACACAGAGGAAACACGACAACGAGACGGACCTCTCCACAGAGAAGGTCAGAGGGGACACTTTGAGTTGAATCTCAATGAAGCCTTTCTCCCCAGAGAGTTTGATGTCCCACTGTCTCATATAACATAAAGGGATAATTTATTGTTGCATACAGCCATGTGTACTTGTCATTTGATTGCTTTGATGTATCCTCTGATGACATTATTAGTGAATGAATTGTGGTAGAAAAAGTAAATTTTGATTCAGAGTTGTTTCCTGTGATTTTCATAAAACAAAGAACCCACTCTTCTGAAAACACATGGTCTATTGTAGTGAACAACATCCGATTTATGGGTTTTGGTTAGCTGTGAGTTTAAAGAGTTCCTATTGAAGTTGTCTTTGTAAAATTAAACATGATGCTAACACTTCAAATGTTTATTTTTAGGTCAGCAAAATCAGTCTAGTAGATTTGGCAGGAAGTGAACGTGCAGACTCCACTGGCGCTAAAGGGACCAGGCTAAAGGTATAACTCATTACAGCAAAGTTTATTATAATTGTCACTAAGGCTGCAAGATTAATCACAATCACTTCTAAATCAGTTTGAAGTACCAACATTTTGTCCACAAACAACAATATATCATGTATTATTTTGCAAAAAAACTAAATTTGTATTTTAATTCTCTTAAAAATATGAACTTCTAATCACAATTCCAGTGTTTGCTAAAAAAAAAAAAAAAAAAGAAATGTCACTGTCAGCCCAAATTGTCAATACTCTGTCTAATATATTGTTGTTTTTTATTACAGGAAGGAGCAAACATCAACAAGTCTCTGACCACGTTAGGAAAAGTCATATCTGCTCTGGCTGAAGTGGTGAGTGTTTTTCCATTTGGCCGCCTTCTGCTCATATCCTGAAACACCCTGCCCTGTCTTTGGGATTAGATAATGTTGGGAGTGAGGCATGCTGTAATATTTGTCCTTCTTTTTCTCTTGTGCTTTAACACCTGCTGTCTCAGGATAACTGTACCAGCAAGGTAAACCTTCAGACAGTCTAGCCACTCGCCTCTAATCCCTTCCATCAGCCTGATATGACGCCTGTTGCTCTGGACTAGTTCATTTCACTGCAGATCTTAGTGGCATGTTTAGGGAGTAACATATTTGTTCTAGAGATTGACCTATAGTTGTTTTTCTCATGGCCAATGCCAATACCAAAATTTTGTGACCTAGAGCAGCTGATGGCAGATAAGCTATGCTATGTCGTTATTTCTAGGTCTTGACATGACTGCAAACTCATGCACTTTACAATGCAATGTTCAACATAATAAAAATATAATAAAGAAAATAATATAAATAGACTTAATTTGTATGTGTAAAAAAATCAAGCCTTATGCCTTTATATCAAGCAGCTGTCACTCCAAACAAAATATCTGCCTATGCTTGAGATACCCTAAAAAGTTCAAGTATTGGCCAATATATCGATCTATCTCTAATTTGTACAGTAGCAACAGGGCGTGATATTTAAACTTTACTCATATTTACCCTTTGCTGAATGTTTCATGAGATTGAAATTTGTAAAATGCTAGTCTATTAACACTTACTATTATGTATACTATTTTGTTTGCAGAGTAAGAAAAAGAAGAAGACGGACTTCATACCATACCGAGACTCTGTTTTGACATGGCTTCTAAGGGAGAACTTGGGTAAGAAGAACCCATTTGTCTAAGATGCTTTGCAACCTGGTTACTCATCTCTACAGTCAAGAGAGAGAGAGGAGAGAGTTTATGTAATCCATGTCCTAGTATTCATATTGTAGACAGCTAGAAAAAATTAGCCACCTGCATCCTGTCAGAATAAAAAATGGAGAGGAGCAAGTGCACATTATACTCTGCCAATTTAAGAAGAACACTGTCAGCATGCTGTATTTCAAGTTAACAAGACAAGCACTCTGTTGCTCCGAGGTCACACATGTTTACAGTCGATCTCCCATATTTGGTGCTACATGTAGTACATAGCTGTTAGGAGTCCAAGCACTGCCAGCTAATACATTACTTCATCCTCACTTCAATTGGACCAAACCTGGGTTAGCATTACCACAGCATGACCCCTATCTGAACCTGCAATCAATTCCAGGTGGAAACTCCAGGACGGCTATGGTCGCTGCTCTGAGTCCTGCTGATATCAACTATGATGAGACCCTCAGTACTCTCCGGTAGGTTTTGAATAATAATAAATAAATAGACTGACTTTGTTTGTCTTCCAATTTGATCTAAAATTAACTTGGTAATTTAAACTTGAAGCAAGTCTACATCACGTATCTTAAAGTCCACTCCAGAACCAGTTAGAAACCAGAATAAGTACATATACCATTATTGTTGCTAGAAATACCAAGGGAAAGATCCAATTTAGATATTTCAGTATTGATACTTATATATCAAGTATCTAATTAGTGCTTATTTGTATCTCAGTAATGATTTTTATACCTATTGAACACTTTACACCATTATTGATCAAAGCTACACTTATGTCAACATCTCTAATTATTATTGTCCATTTTCTTCTATTTCCAGCTATGCCGATAGGGCCAAGAACATCAAATGCAATGCTGTCATCAACGAGGATCCCAACAACAAGCTGGTGCGTGACCTCAAGGATGAAGTGGCTCGTCTGAAGGAGCTGCTGCGTGCACAGGGCCTGGGAGACATCCTCGACAGTGAGTTTTGTATAAAGACAACAGCAAGTCATCTCTGCAGACACACAAAAGTACACAGTATCTATTACTGCACTTTCTCTTTTCTATATATGATGGTACTTCTCTTTCTACATCACTGTCCTGTCATTTCATATGTTGTTTCTATTTTAGTGCATGAATGTACTTTGTAGATATCATAAAACATGGCTGTACTACTAATGACTGAGTTGATCACAAACATTTCTTTTTATAAACATCACTAGATTCTTATACAGTTTAGAAAAAACAGTCAGGTCCATTGATTGAATTGATCAGTGATTGAATAAACCATCTCATAAAACTGTGATTTCATGACAGCAGCACATTTGTAGAGTGGTTGTCATATTTACAACATAGTCATTGCTTCATTTGACTGTGAACTGTGTGGGAAAAAAAACAACTTCCCAGCTCATTTATCTGAATTATCTCATAAATGAGTAAATCAAATGCTGGACTAACCCTTTATCACCTATTTAACATCAGAGTTAACAGCTCCTCATCACATTTTGTTGTGTCTGTAACTGTTTCCTCACATTGTACTGGTGCTGACACGTCTCATCTTCTCCTGCCTCCCTCAGTCGATCCTATGGGGGATGATTACCCAGGAAGTGGAATCAAATGTGTGTATATGTGGGCTAGCCAAGCGTTATCTCACCGCTCTGGCCTAACATTGCTCTTACTGCTAGCATAAGTTTGCTACAAGCTTGCATGCCTCTAAAGTGATTAATGTAAGAAATGCAAGGGGTTTGAAATCTTGATAAGAGAAGCATGCAGCTGTTTTATGTTGCACAGTGAGGGTGGAGAGGCAGCTAAATGCGCACACACAATGGAATAACTCCTGTCTCCCCAACCCCCAATCCACCGTGCTTATTCATTTGTGTGACTTACACATTTGGTGTCTGTGTGCTTTTTCTGTTTTTGTTTGACAAATAATGTGCTGAAGCTGCAGCTCAGAGCTACAGAAAAAAAGGTGCATGTATTTGAATGGTAGCTAGCTATTGTAGTAGTAGTTGTAATTTCTGTAGTTTAAACTGTTAGCATCATATTGAATCCATTATATCTCCAATATTATACCCCTGCCTAGTTTTAGTTTTAGTACTTGTGACTTTTAATAGATAAAACAAAACCTTGATGCAAATGTCATGGTGATGATTACATATCAAGTTCACCTGACATGCTATCTGACTAGCAATCTTTAAACCTACACTTTAAAGGCTATTGTTTTAATTGTGGTTTGGATGGGGGTGAGGTCTCAGTTACCCTGCTGTCCTTGAGTGCGTTATGTCGCATGCGCTGATCGACCTTTAGCCAGGCTGCAGTGGCTCTGTTACCCCATGTTTGTATGCAGGGGTGACTCAAAATGCTTGACTGTGGGCTGAACTTTGGCTGCATGGAGCAACTATCTGTCACCCCACTTGGCTAGTATTTTGGGATCTCCCAGCTCCTTCCATCCCATATGTGTTCACTGGTGGCGATTTTCACCCGATTTAGCTTAATGCAAGGGATAACGCAGTCATAGTGTGGACCAGTTTGGAATAGACTCACTGCAAATTAAGTTATCAGGGTAATTAGAATGCCTCTGTAATTACACGGTCCAAGTATTATAGCTCAGAGTGAGAGCCTGGCTACAACCTTTAATTTTGTATATAGCTACACTGCAAAAATTGAATGTCTAACCTTATAATGATCAATACAGAATATTAATTTTCATTTGAGTTAGATTGTGTTGTTTACGTAGAATATTTCACTGGTTTCTATACATTTTCAACTAGTAGATCATTTAACATGAAATAAGATAATCAATTAATTAAATTAATTAAATTAAGTAAGTAAAATGTCTTACTTAACTAATAATTTATGCCAATACATTACTTCTAATTTCAAGTCAATCTTGAAATAAGTGAAAATTACAATAAATAGTCTGAAATAAATGAACTCATCTAGAATGTTTTTATTTTTATCTTACTATCCCAGTTCTGCACTCTCTAGGGTGAAAATTGCTCTATAGTTGTCCACTTAACTGAAGTTGTCTTAATGTACAATGTGTGTCTTACATTGGTCTTCCCTTCCCTTGTCTTCTCTCCTCCCTTGTTTCCTCCACTCCTTCTTTTTACCATTTTGGTTTTCATTTTGTGTGGTTTATCCTTCCTCTCCTTATCCCCGGGCCTGTCCATCCTCTCTCCTCTTCCTTCCTCTCTTTCTCTTCGTTTCTCGCTGTGGCCTCAGACCTCAAAGACATTCAGAACAATAAGAATAGATACTTGCTAGCCTCAGAGAATCAACGGCCTGGCCATTTCTCCACAGCACCCATTGGTTCTCTGACAGCCTCTCCGTCCCTGGGCTCGCTCTGCTCTCAAGGCCTGCAGTCCGTCTCAAGCATCCAAGAGCGCATCATGTCCACACCCGGAGGAGAGGAGGCCATTGAGAGACTCAAGGTAAAATACACACAGGCCATCAGTGAAGTCTTCATCTTGAATATTTTTGTATAAGTAAAAATTACAAGTTGGTACAAGAAAAAATACACAAAAAGGATAAGGTACAAGTCAAGATCTTACTACTGATAATATTGTATTGTCTTGTTCACTGAATGACATCAGAGTTAACAAAAACAAAAGTGCTCTTTTGTTGTTAAAGATTGTAACATGTGTGTACGATTCAGTTTAATATGCCTTTTACAAACATATGTATTGAAAAACATTTAAACATATTTATATATATATATGGGACAAACTAATTCTTATATTATTACGATAAAATGATATAAATCTGGAAGTTCAAAAACATGGAGACAAGGAGCTGCTGTTATAAAACCAATGTTACTTATGAGGAGTGTCCTGCCCTCGTGAAATAAAGCAATATTTATCAAACCAAATGACAGCCTAACATGTGTTGTATAAAGTAAATTTAGTTTCAGTAATCAGGCTTTTAAAAACAAGATATTACACATCTCTACACCAACGTAATAAGATCTAAAAATAGATCAGCTACCTGGCAGCTCTGAGCAGCACATTCAACCCACACATAAAATCTATAGTATTTTAGCCTCACCATTTACTCCATGCTCCCTTATCTTTACAACACTCACGTTTCCTTATGAAGTTCAAAGACTGGGGAGCACAGAGAGCCGCAGCATCCCACTCTCAGAAGCTGCAGTTTCCATGACGACGCCTTGAGCGCACTGTCTGTCATCGAATGACGTCAAACACCAATGCACGCACAGGGAAATTAGACCAAAATAGAACCAGACTTTAGTGCCCTTTTAGTTTTGACAATGAACCATTTATTAAACATTATATAGGCTATTTTTTAAAATTTCATTTGGTATTTTTAAATGTCAATGTGTTCTATATGCTATCATCTGTAATGCAAGCTTGTAAAAATGCATGCAAGGTGTGTATACATGTGAGTAATATTGGTTGTTTTCAGATGATAGAATAGGTATCTTTCATTAGTGACATTTGATTATGATTTTGCTTTGTTTATTCAACTACATTATAAATTTGGCATTAATAGTACAGATTTTACAGGCTCCCTTATTTGTTCAGCTGTTATGTTGTTTGAAACACAACATTATTTATTTACCTTTTTACTCAGGAATCGGAAAAGATCATTGCTGAGCTGAATGAGACCTGGGAGGAGAAACTGCGTAAAACTGAAGCAATCCGAATGGAAAGGTAAGTACCAGCCTCAGTAGACATCTCTAACCTTGTGTTTCCAGGGCGGAGCGGTTTGTCTCTCGGGGCATCACTCATTTGGATCTTGTCTGTCTCAAGCACTTCCCCATAGCCTCGTCTCCATCTCTCCTTATTTTAAGTTTAGACTGTCTGACACTTTAACTATCCTGTCTGCTCTTATTCTGTCCATTTCACGTGTATCTGTTTTGTTGTCATGCCCTTTACTCATCTGATATACATTAAATCACTGTCACATGATGGCCAGTCTGCCTCTTGTCACAAAAATGACTTCAGTATTATACACAGCAAATATTTTTACAGCAAATATTTTTCTTGAATCTAATCACGTCTGACATACTAATCAAGAAAAATATTATTCATTGTCACATAATCGGTGTTTCAATTGGTTATATAGCTTACACTGCCCTCCACCTATGAAAAATGTTGAGCAAATGTAGCCCTAAAGAGCCAGTATTGTGTATTGTAATATAAAATTTTTTAGTTATGATTACGTGCCAGCCATCTATATATGCATGTTTCCTCCAAAGATGTTTTTTTTTTGATATAGCTAAATATAAAATATTACATTCATACAGTGTTATCAATGTTTCTTCCGCTGCACAAGAACCACCTCCAGATTCGATAGAAATAGTTTTAATCTGGAGTGCCATCTTATTATTTATCTTCAGGCAGTGAATCATCAAAGCAAAATGAATAATGCCGGATTTAATTTGTTATTTTCAAAACTTTCAGCAATTGTTTATTCCTAAAGGGTGTCTTGTGCTTTTTATTAACATAATTTTATCAGCCATGGGTAAAGTGGGCCTTTGGGTTCAATTAGATATACAGCCAAATCAGAGAAGGAAAATGTCATATGAAACTTGCATCATATTTTAAATGGTAACAAATCTGTAAGTATGAACTTCACTGAAGATTAAATATGGGGCTGACCAACCAGGATTTAATATATATTTATGGAGTTGAAGTTATTGCATCAAAGATTTTGTTGAGTTAAGCAATTGCCAGACATAAGCAGGCTACTGTATGCAATCAAGCTCACAAAAAGTCTGAATTATTGTTTTACAGAGAGGCCTTACTGGCAGAAATGGGTGTTGCGATCCGTGAAGATGGTGGCACTTTGGGCGTCTTCTCTCCTAAAAAGGTACGTCGTGGACACAGCACAAAATTGGACATAAAGTGTCTAAACTGTGCCATTGCTGCTGATGCTCACGTTTCCATCATCACTTCCTCCTCTGTGTCTGTGCGATCTTTCTCATGGGAACTTCCCTTCATTGTCCTTGTATTTTCTCACTCTTTATCATCTCTTTTCCTCTTCTTTTTTACTTTGGTTTTATAGCTTAGTCAGGAATTTGAGGGTCCTTTTGATTTTCCAGCCCAAAAGGTTTGTAAAATGGAGTTAGCAGTGAACAGATCTTACTACAGTAGTTGAAATTAGGCTTATTAGTGTTGTATAATTCTCCAAAGACATATAAAAATATATAGAGAGAGCTTGTTTTCACTCCCTTGTAGTGACTAGAGCTTAAAATGGTGTAATTTTTTTGTCATGTGCCACATTTAACACCAGTAGCCCTTAGAACAACACTTTTCTTTGTTGAATTAAATGCTTCCATTGCTTTCCTCAATCCTCCTCTTTAACTGCATTTGTTTTTTGTTATTCTGTTCAAATTTATTTGTTTTCCATTCTCTTTTCTTTCCACCATTGCTCTTCCATGGGTTAGCCTTTTGTTGAGAAGTCTTTTGAGCTCTATATAGATCATGGGTTCTTTTCCCCAAAAAAGGTTGGTGTTTTGGGTCATAGATAGTAGCTTTAATTGTTGAAAATGAATTTGAAGTGTATCCAATTGACATTCTGACGTTGATTTATTTTTTATTACATATTTATAAACAAGTGTTCCTTACCGTGCTTGTGGTAAAAGTTTTGTGTCTCATGTTTCTTATCTAGACTCCACACCTGGTTAACTTGAACGAGGACCCGCTCATGTCAGAGTGTCTGCTCTACTACATCAAAGACGGCATCACAAGGTAACAGTAATTTCAATACTGACTGTGAAAAAAGAAGAGGTCCAGGGGTTTTCTCTATCACCTAATGAGTCACAAGCAAAAAGGGGGGCATGAGTTTGTGATGCTGCACATGTGTCAATGAGTCAGTCTTCATTTATAGCACTTAACAACAGCAACAACCACTGAACCAAAGAGCTTTCCATACATGCAGCAATCAATACATCTGTGTATCATTTAGAAAAATGTACATTTAAGTAAAATTAACAGCAATACCAAATCTTTAGAAGACAAATATAACAAGTTATGCTTTTGGGAAGATAAAAAAATTTAGTCTAAAATGTCTTTTCCAGGGTGGGCCAAGCAGATGCTGAAAGGCGACAGGACATTGTTTTGAGTGGAGCTCATATCAAAGAGGAGCACTGCATTTTTCGCAGTGAGAGAAATGCCAATGGAGACGGTAAGTAAAAAAGTACATTTGTTTTTATATATTTGGTTAGCAAAAAGGTCTGTTGTATACTTGGGCTACTGAAAGTGTTACTGTACTAATACTTAAATGGTCTTAAATGGTTTCAGACATCCAAAAAGAATAAAACAAACATAGTTAGACTTACTTAATTTGTACTAACTATATTTTTGATTTCTTCTGAAGTGGTGGTCTTGTTGGTGCCTTGTGAGGGATCAGAAACATACGTCAATGGAAAACGTGTTGAGGATGCGATCCAGCTCCGCTCAGGTGCAACACTTACTTGACATAAAATCAATGAAATGTATTTCTGATGTGTACCCAACATTAATGCACTGGGATATTGAACCTGACCTTTCCTGCTGTTTTCTTTTCCTCTTTTTTCCAGGTAACCGCATAATCATGGGCAAGAACCACGTTTTCCGGTTCAACCACCCAGAGCAGGCGCGTGCCGAGAGGGAGAAGACGCCCTCCGCTGAGACTCCTGTGGAGCCTGTGGACTGGACCTTTGCCCAGAGGGAACTCCTGGAGAAACAGGGCATCGACATGAAGCAGGAAATGGAGAAAAGGTGAGTGTCCATATTAAGCCTGAGGTTAGAAGATGAGTATTTGAGATGGTATTTTGTTTTATTGTTTAGGCTGACTGAAATGGAGATACTGTACAAAAAAGAGAAAGAGGAAGCAGATCAGCTCCTGGAACAACAGAGACTGGTAAGTGCATTTTAAGATGGAGTACTGTAAAGCCGGATTCACAAAGGGAGGGAATCAATGTTAGATTTTTAAATAGTACATATGAACCAAATCTGTTTTACAGATGTGGAGTGGACTTACTTAACTTTAGCAGTAAACCAAATTGCACTCATTTGTGTGTGACATTTGTAACACTACTTCCAAAAGATGTAATGTCAAAGATGGTCATCTGGACAATGTTAAGACCACTTTTTCCAGTTAACAAAAAAAAAAAAAAAATTCAACAGTATTTTCCCAGTGAGTAAACCTTTTTGTGAAACTGGCTCATATTTTAAACAAATAGAAGTGTATTTTTCAAAGCTAGTTACATTTTAAATTAATTGTTTGTTTTATATTATCTGGATTCTATTTTGTATGAAGTGATAAAAAGTTAAAGCATGGTTTATGGCCACCTTGATACAGTCATTTTGGGCTTTTGGATCCTCCTATAGTTCCCCTGAGTCTGTTTAATCCTGTCTAGTACTAATTCTCACTCTGAGCTCTGACACTGAGATGTGTGAAGTGCATGTCCGTTCTTCTTGCATGGAGGATTTTCTGGTTTTTAGACTGAAGAGCTTTCCCTCGTCTCCTTTTGATTTTCTGTAGCGATTTGATTGAATCAAAAATAGACTGTGAAGCTTTCTATTTTCTCCCCTTTCCTTGTCTTTCCCATAGAACCTTGGGAATCCTGCAAAACAGCACCCTGTGTTTAGTTCATGCTAAATGGTTAAACAAAGATACAAAATACAATATTAATTATCTATTGATTAAAATAATTTTGTACTGTGGTTTTCAAGCAACGCTGCTTTGCATGGTTCTTAAAATTGGTAAAAAGCATGGTTTCTTAACTCCTTGAGTGCTGGTTCTGGACTAAAGTGAAGCCAACTTTTAGGCTGCTGTTGATTTGCTTGAATTAGATTTTCTGCTTTAGTTTTCTTGCTCTGTTTTGTCTTGAATTTAATTTCTTCAATGCAGTTGCTGATAAGTTCAATGCATTGTGTTAACTCAATTCTTCTGTAGTTTTTACAGTGACAATGTGGTTTCTCATTGACTTCTTTGGCTACCCTTTTGCATTTGTTTAGCATACTAGGGCTCAGCAACAGAGAATGTATTTGTCAAAGTTTTTTTTAAATAATTTTGGTTTGATGTGCAATGCTATAGACACAGGAATGTCACAGCGATACACTCAAAAATGGAGATTTTGGACCAACCAGTTGTGATCTGTAATGGATTTGTCAATAGAAATGAGAAACTGCATTTTTCCGACTAACATTTTTCTTGTAGTGGATTAACACCTCTCACATCTGCCTCTTGTCTTTCTACTGGCTTTCTGATCAGCTGCACAACTCTGCTAATACAAAGCTAACACTCAAACCTTCTGGACTAAAGGGGAAAGCTCCCAAATCGAACTACATGCATGCCACAATTTTGGGGGATCAGAAGATGAAGACCATCTCAAGGCTCCAATAAGTGCCTTTGCTTCATTGATTTACGTTATCTAATATTATATACATGCTTTACCTTTACTTTTAATACCAGTATGCAACATTGGGAACAATCATCACAATCATGTCAACCATTTTTCATCAATTCCACGTATTCATTCAGTCCTACATCGATAAATTATTGTGAAAAAGTCTGAACAAGAAAGTCAATGAAAGCCACTTTTGGTTGGATTTTTGTTTTAAATTTTTGTGTTGTTTTGCATGTTGGCATACATTTTACTCTTCATTAATGTATGCAGAAAAAGAATACATATTGAATGTATTCATGCTCTCAATAGCTATAAAGTGATCCAAATTAAGGTTACTTGATTACATGACTTTTGCTCCTTAATGTGTTCCCATGTTGCATATTCATACCTTAAATCATTCTTTTAAAACAAAAGGCATCTTTTCATCTTCCTTTGATTTCTCATTGTAATTTCTCCTTTTTGGGGCTCATTTGGTTTGTTTTCTTAAGGATGGCGACTCTGATAGTGGGGATGACTCAGATAAGAGGTCATGTGAAGAGAGCTGGAGACTGATCACATCACTGAGGGAAAAGCTGCCCCCCAGCAAACTCCAGACCATAGTGAAAAAGTGCGGCCTTCCCAGCAGCGGCAAGAAGAGAGAGCCCGTTAAGATGTACCAGATCCCCCAACGCCGCCGGATCACCAAGGACTCCAAGTGGGTCACCATCTCAGACCTGAAGATCCAGGCTGTTAAAGAGATTTGCTATGAAGTGGCCCTTAATGACTTCCGACACACCCGCCAAGAAATCGAAGCACTGGCCATAGTTAAGATGAAGGAGCTCTGCGCCAGCTACAGTAAGAAAGACCCCAACGAGCGAGACTCATGGAGGGCAGTGGCCCGAGATGTTTGGGACACTGTGGGGGTGGGAGATGAGCGCATCGAAGACGTCATCACCAACGGGACACGGCCAGGGTCTGGTGTAATGGATGAACTCAAGGTGCACATTGATAAACTGGAAGACATCCTGCAGGAGGTGAAGAAACAGAACAACATGAAGGATGAGGAGATCCGAGCTCTAAGGAACAAGATGGTCAAAATGGAGAAGGTTCTTCCCCTCATGGACAGTCAGGACAAGCCTCAGAGTGCCCAGCCCCCTGCTGTGCCCTCCTCTCTGCCCTCTGTTCTACCTGTAGCCCAACCCTCTGCTCAGAGCTCTGTGAGGACTCCCAGTCCCCGAGAAAGGAAGCCCCCTATGCCTGAAAAGTCTGATGTGGAAGAAGTTGATCCACAGTCAGGCCTCCCATCAGGAGATGACCCAACCCTGAAGCGGGCGGAAATGCGCTGGATGAGGCAGGACCAGCAGCGGCTGAAAAACATGCAACAGCAAGAGATCTCGAAACAGCTGCGCAGGAACAACGGGCCACATCGATTCATCCCCCCAGAAGACCGCAAGCTGCGCTTCCCTTTCAGAAGTAACCCTAAGCACCGAAACTCATGGAGCCCTGGCACCCACATCATCATCACAGATGAGCAGGTGATCGAGCTGAAGGTGCCTAAAGAGGCAGTACAAGAGGAAGAGGAGGAGGATGAGACTCAGTGCAGAGAGAGAGTGGCAGCGGCAGTGGTACAGGTGGCCCTGCCTAGTCCTGCAGCACAGAGGAGGAGCAGTGAGTCTGATCAGAGCCAGGGGCCCAGGCAGAACCACAGGAACCAACAGAAGCAACAGTATGAACGGGGACGTAGCAACTCCTTTAACCACCGCCAAAGGGCGTCGGGGTCCATGGGGTCCATGGGGTCCATGGGGTCCATGGGGTCCATGGGGTCTATGGGGTCCATGGAGTCCTTACAGCAGCCTGAGCCCCGGAGGCACATACAGCCATTTTATCCCCCGCGAAACCACTTACCCCCTCATCTGCCTCCACCCATGTACCCTCCTCAGCAATACCCCCAGCCTTGCCAGTACAATGGCATGTTTTACCCTGATGGCAGCTTCAGTGGTTTCCAGGAGTACTCCCACACTGACCAACCAAACCATCCAATCAGCTTCCAGCCCCCGCCCCGAATGCGCAGACAGTTGTCTGCTCCTAATCTCAAAGCTAACCGAGAGACAGTGGTTTGAGTCAGTGTTAGTCCAATGTTTCTTAGGACAAAGACATTACAGATCACAAACTGTGAACAACGCTGACTTTTGCACTTGAACAGTGTTTTCTTGGTTGATCCAAAAATATGTGTTATACATAGACTTTTTATTGTTGTCATCATATATACTGTGTTATCAATTCTGCTGCATTGTGTATTGTCATCATTAGGATGAGAGAACTGTCAGGGGCAACTGGAGAGGGCAGACAATAAGGAGACAGTGCTAAAAGAAAACCCATGCCGAACCCTCTTCATTTTTAGCATGTTTGACAATTGATAAATCATGATTTGATTTGCCAAATCCTTTTTCTGAGTTTACATATTTGCCATGTTAGTATTTGTATCAGCCGCTGCATTTTAAAACATGATGCTCTTTGCATTGAATCATTTGTTTTTGCTATGAACAACAGAATGCTACATTTATATGGTCATATGGCCATAACAATTCAACATTTTTAGCTCCCTCATTGTTTTTGTTTCTGAAATCATTGGATTAGATCAGGAATCTAACATCCAGTATGTTCTTTACTTAAATTATTTGTTGGTGCATCAGTTTATCTTTAATTGTAATTGGAAGGTGATTCACTTCACTCACTCCTGTGGTTTTTCATTTCAATTTGTCTATTTTTATTCAGCCTGCAGCTCCGGCTCTGTTAACTCTATACTTTACAATATGCCTAATGAAAAATGCTGTTTATCAATGAGATGAATTAAGCCTTTCTGGATGATCTTTTAAATATATTGTATAGTACAAAATATGCTGCCTTCTAAAACCGTATTTGCACTCCCCATTTTATAAGCTCTAATTTCTCAAAGAGCACACATAGTAAGTTAACTTGTAAAAAATATATAGAATATATATTTTGTAAAAGCAGTTTAATCCCCAATTTCTATAGTATGTTTCTCCCTAAAATCAAAATACATTTTCATGCTAAAATAAAACAGCTGGATGTATTTGACAAAATGTCATTTATTTTTGTGTTTCAAACTTTCACTAAATAAACCCTCCGCTTCACCTCTTATCCAATGGAGGTCTCACAGTGTTGTCATGGTTCCCAAAGACTCACTGTGCAAATGTTGGAGGGAAGACAAAGACTTGAACTATTTGCATTTTTTTTAATGGACTGTCCATGGGAAATGAGATTTTGATGATTGCCTTTCACAGTCTGCATAGACATCAGATCCTTTAGTCTGCTATTTGTTCTGTGTCTAGAGAGTCAATCTCTAGACCCTGCTGCTGCTGTAGCTTTAACTCATTCATACATCTATATCACAGATGGCCTTTCAATCAGTCATGTTGCAGCTTGGATGTCTTTTTTAAACAATCAAACATAGTCCTGTTTGATATTAAACTTATCAGTATGTTATGCCTTATTATTCTATAACAAAACCAAATAATCAAATGCTCTGCAAGTGTCTTCACCATGTGATCTTTTTATTGCCTTATATCTTTGCATGGAATCCTCCCTTTGTTATTATTATTACAAATTTGTACTGGTGCTGATGGCTACCAGGTAGCTGGAAAGTAAACTATCAAATAGACATTGTACAGAAAAGTGTTTTAAATATTCTATACCATACAGTGTAAGTGTCTGCATCAGGTGCATATGATTGTTGTATGTCTGGTGTCCTGTCTTGACTTTTTCAAGTGCCTCTTGTGGCTGTGTAGAAGTCCATATTTGAACAAAACAGTTTCATCGGTATTTCTGTGTTATTGGAGGTTTATTTGAAGGTATGGCTGAAATAAAATGACAAGCTCTGAGTGCAGTTCTTTTGTGTTGAAATTGTTTATCAAATTTTAATTCATTTAAAAATTGTTCAAAAGGATGAGATCACTGTCAGCCTGCTGTACCCAAGGGGGGTGACGAGTTATAGACACTGTTAAAACAAGAAGTACAATGCAACTCTTAAAGTAGGAAACCAAAGCATTCCAACTTGACTTACAAGTTCAGTAATAATACTAGCAATACTTAGCACCTGACCGTTTTGAAGACGAGTGATAATCAGACACTTTATTTGTATTTAGAGTGCTGTGTTGTCTCTGCTTCCACACACCCAGCTTTAGTTGAATACAATATAGTTTTTCTCAAGATTGAGTTGTTTTGGTGTTGGCTGGATTTCAGCAAGGAAGAGGTTAATGACCAATGAATAGCCCCCATTGTTTCTCCAGAAGACACTGAACGCACCAGATGAGGTCATTGGGACCACAGCCCGTTCTGCCCCGAAGAGAATGGCGCCCCTCATTGGATTACATAGACTTAGCTCCCACCAGCTATCTGCTTTCCCTCCAGGCTTTATGGACAATGCACAAAAATGCATTTTATAGATGTTTATTTGAATTAGAATAATTTATGTAGCAAAATGTTACATGAATACAAACATGGGTGTGTAATGATAAAAATAACACTCCTATATAGCAATTATTGACCAAACACAACTTTTGCATTTTTTCATTATTCATCCAATCCAACTGATTTATGCACCTGTATTCTGCATGCATTTTTATGCTATGATTTATTTACAATTTTTGTTGCATAACAGTGCCTCATTATTATTGAGCTTGAACTCCAAACAAATAGGTTAGTTTACCTGTTTTTGAGGTGTGCATACAGTTTCAGACCTGGGACATAAAATTAATTTAGATTTAGTTATATTAAGACTAAGGTAAGGTTAAGGTGCACTTTATTGTTTTCTGCATTTAACCCATCCTTCAATGCCACTGGAGCAAACTGTCAGGAGCAGTGGGCGACACTTGGGGACTTTTAGTCCCTTAGTCAGGACTGCCTTAGTTGTAGAACGAGGGGGAACATGCAACAGAAAACCACAGGAAGACATGGACTGTGTTAAATGAATAACATGGTGCTTACCAATCCCACCATGAGGAAGCATCCTTGTTGTATCAGTGGTCAAACAAATAAACAACATTTGGTTTGTTTAAAGACTTTTATATTTGGAAGCAGGGCCAGTCTGACATAGCCAATAATATACAGGTAACCTAGAAAAAAATTTACTGTTTTAAAGTTGCGTTGTGTAACTTTTCTGGTGGAGGGCTCACCACCTACTTTGTTTCCATGGTGATGTTATTACTTTGTCTGCATTTTCCCACAGTGGGGCAAAAAACATGTATATCTGGCATATTGGCACCAGGCCAGGTTGCGGGTCAGATCTGTTGAGGGGCAATCCCACTTTCAATAAGAATACATATTTTTAAAGTTATTTTTGACCAATAAAACACCTGTAGTTTGAAAAATGTTGTATATTTAACCATAATACCATACTGTCAAACCTGCCAGGCAAAGCAATAACATCTCCATGGAGACAATCATATGCGGATAACCCATCAGTAAAGTTACACAGTGCACCTTTATATATAATTTATGTAACTGTGCACTCCCTTTCACATGGATGTATAGCAGTAGTCCATACAGTGTGTCCCCGTTTGTATGTGTCCAGGTTTATGAGAGCAAACTGCAGGAGCTTCAGAAACAGGTGGAGACACGCTCACTGGTTGCTGAGACACCTGACGAAGATGATTTGGAAGACGAGGAGGAAGAAGAAGGTGCGTGGTGTATTCTATGGTGGAGAGAGGCAGTCTGTCAACACTTAAGTGCAGCAGAATAAATGCATTCTGTGTTCTATATTTTCTATAGAGCCTAAACTATTTGGATGTACGTATTTTTTCTATCAAAAACAAACCCTTCATATTAACAGTTTCATTACAGTAAATCTTCATTGGTTGGTGACAATGTCATTAATACCATCATCATTAATAAACAACTATACAATCATTAACATTACATCTTTTTATCTTACTGGGAACATTAGAACTTATTTTAACTCCAGCAATAACTCACTGTGTGCTAATTACAATAGCAAGAAATATTAAGACTTTGTAATAACAAAATTTCTCAATTTACTTGAGAGTAAAGTAAGTGCATATGCCTTTATTCATTAAATATATTGATTGTTTTGTAAATTGTAACAGGAAGTGGATGAAATGAAGTAGCACAGATGTAACACTGTAAATTTATTTAGCATTCATACAGTAGCAAAATTACCCTGTTTAATTTTATTAGTAATATATCTTATGAATCATATCTACAGTGCCGTGGACCCAGCATGAGTATGAACTGGCACAGTGGGCCTTCAGGAAGTGGAGATATCACCAGTTTACCTCCCTTCGAGACCAGCTCTGGGGCAACGCAGTCTATCTCAAAGAGGCCAATGCAATCAGTGTGGAGCTAAAGAAAAAGGTTGGTAAAAGAATTTATGATATTATATAGTATATTTAACCGCAATATATATTTTATTGTAAATAGCTTGAGGTGTCCACAAATCACAAGTTGTTTGCTCAATAATCAAGAGATCACAATTGTTACATTGTAAAACAGATATAAAATTTGCTCAAAATCAATGAACTACCTTCACCATAAAGCACCACATGAGTAATATAGCTGTCAGAGTGTGGTGTTGGTGGCAGATGGAAAATATATGGTTTGGGTTAAATTTGTCAAAAGATATATTTACTTTAATTTATATTGTTTGAACATGGCAGGTTCCCGGGAATAGAAATGACCTTTTGACCTCAACCTCAAAAGCTGTAAATTGTGACACTATATTTATGCCACTAGTACTATTGCCTGTCCACTACTACTACAACTACTGATCCTAGCTACCATGAAAAAAGCAGAAAGCACTGTCTATACCAATGGGGTCCGATCATTTTCCTCCAGTGAGTTACTTACAAAACCAGAAATACTAAAGAGCTACTCATTTTAGTGGTAACAAGGAATTGAGTATATATAAGAGCCTCAGCAAGCCTTAGATGGGGTACAGTTAGACGTCTATAAAACATAAACTATTATCCATTTATTAGAGCACAAATTTAGGCATTAAAATTATACTTCTACAGTAGTAACAGCCATTTAATTTATGTTAGTTATTCAGCACAATATGTATAATTCAGAAATCTCTTTGTGAGCTACTTAGAAAGGGGTGGAGGGCTACTGGTCTATACAGTATATTAACAAAAATGTGTTTTTCTTCTTTAGGTACAGTTCCAGTTTGTGTTGCTGACGGATACGCTGTACTCCCCTCTGCCTCCGGAGCTGCTGCCCCCTGAACCAGAGAAGGACCGTGACCCTCGACCTTTCCCCCGAACCGTTGTGGCTGTGGAAGTGCAAGACCTCAAGAATGGGGCTACACACTACTGGTCCCTTGAAAAACTTAAGTAATGCCAGTTTTATAATAATTCAAATGTTTAGGTTATGCTTGACTATAACTGTATGTTTACAATATTACTGCAGCATTCCAAATGAGCTGGAGCTAAAAAAGTCTTGGGTGAATTATTCATGTATAGTCAATGGTCCTTTATAAGCCAGTATATAGAAATTACTGTCATAAAACACTATTTACTTTTACCTTAGTTTATAATGTAATAATAATAATGGTTGCACTGTACCACAATATCTCAATATAAAATACTGGAGGTGTACAAAATTAGAAGTGTATTAAAAATGTTCTAAACAAGGTTAGGTTTTTTACCCTTTTTTAATTTTATTTTATTATCATGATAACCTTAAAAAAAGATTGAGATATTTTTTGTCATCATTTCCTTTCTCTAATGTGCTGTAAAAATAGTGTTAATATCAGATCTCTTACTGAAAGCTGCATGCTCTTTTCACCTCTCATTAAACTAAAATGTGTGTGTGCTGATCTGCAGACAGCGGCTGGACCAGATGAGGGAAATGTACGATCGTGCTGGAGAAATGGCCTCCACTCACCAGGACGATGCAGAGGGTGCGCTCACAGGCAATGACCCCTTCTACGACCGCTTCCACTGGTTCAAACAGATTGGCAGGTATGTCATGTTATGTGAAAATTGAGTTTTCATATTTTGTTACATTCATAGTCATTATACCTTAATATGAATTGATGTGTAATAAACCGTACGTACCACAGGTACACCATGGATCATTTTTCATTTTGTAAATTATGTTTGATCAATAATTTTTTATTTTCATTGTAATTATATCAGTGACTGTTGTTACATGTGCACTTAAGTTTAAATTTATTTAAATGAAGATTATTTAAATGAAATGTAAACAGCAGAATCACCCCTTTTTTTTTCTTTCTACAGATCATGGTCTATGATTACTAACATCAGATTTTGCAGTTTACATATTATTTAAGTAATTTAAAGGTCCAGAAATCAGATTATATTCTGATTTTGGTGTGCATGTACACAAAGCCAGTGCCCTTTTCCCCATATCGTCATTGTAAAGTTTTCTTTTCCTTTTTTATTGTGAACCTGGCCAGCTGGTTCATACCTTCATTCTACTTGTTTTGAGTACTGTTTAGTAACTACTTTGTAGTTACTAAAGTACAAACATTTATCTAAATTATGTTTCCCTGGTTGATTTTATAAAATAATAATCAAATTGTTACCTTCATTTCTTTATTTCTAATATCAAACTCAAATTGGGAAATACCTCATGACTGGCCAGGTCACTTTCATTCATTGTTTCATTTTTAATTTAATATGTTTTATTCACTTTGTATTTGTAATGTTAAAAGCAATTGTGAAAACATGTGCTGTTGGTTGGTATTAGTTTCTCCTCTTGTAGCCTACAGATTTGAGTAAATTTATGTTAATCCTCTTAAGGGACCCATAATTTGTTATAAAATAGTGTTTCAATCCCTGCAGCTTTTGGTAATACCTGCTCCAAATGAATAAGTCAATCCCATTTTTTATTCACAATCACATTAAGATATCTGAAATTATTTGAAAATTGTTTAGTTTTCTGTGAGGAGCAAAAGTAATTTATGTACAAATCTGGTTTATTTCATAGCCCTTAATATTTGCTATTTTTGTATGGTAGAATAGCAATCTGAAGTCAGTTCTTTTGATTTTTTGTTTGTTGGTGGTCTTCATTATGCCTTTCTATAGATTGTAGATTGTTCACTTACTTTTTCCTAACTCTAATAATTCTAACACTATATCAAAATGTTGTTCAGCCTTATTATAGTGTCCCCACCCTTTTAGGAAACCTATTTTACAATTGACCACATAATATTTCCTCTATAGCATCCCTTTATACCTATTTACTATGACTTTTCCTTGATCTCCTCGATTGTCCAAACACAACCATTCCTCCATGTAGCAGTTCGCCCATTTTCAATGGCTGTGTGAATGAGCGCCTGGCTGACCGCACTCCGTCACCTACCTTCTCCACAACGGACTCTGAGATCACGGAGCTGGCAGACGAGCGTCAGAGCGAGATGTCAGACCTGATGGATGACGAGGCGTTTGTGGACGACACAAGCTCAGATGCCGGGACAGAGGAGGGCTCGGACATCTTTAGTGACGGACAGGACCCCTTCTACGACCGCTCCCCCTGGTTCATCCTGGTGGGAAGGTTGGTGACCGCCATTTTGCACATCTGTTTAGGCAGGGGCGGGGTTGATGGTGCTGTTGGCTTTCTGGTCTTAAGATTAGGACTGAGCAGTATGGTGTTTGTGGCTTTTTTTTATTTTTTATTTTAAAGAAATCGTCATATTGTGATTTAATGCTTTTGTTTAAGTTGTTTGTTGTTATTAAACTATTAGACTTTTTCCTACCCACTCCTCCAACTGGCTGAATGAATCTGTAAGGTCTGAATGAATGACTAGTGGATTTATTCACTCACACTGAAATGTGAGCGCTCAGAACCAGTAGCTGTTTAGTTGCCTCTTAAGGGCAAAGTTATTTTTTTGACATTAGGTATTCAGGTTAAAATATATAATAAAGTTACTTTATTTTGTGAATCCCTTTTTGTGATAAATCAAACTGAATAAGCTAATGGCATCGTTGTAACAGATTCTTTGCTGTGTAAGTTAAGTATCTTTCATCACTGTTCGTATCTCAGCTTGTGGAAATAGTCTTGCTAAACAAGTAGTGCATTAAAACCTGGATGAACTAGATAGAATCAAAAGCAGTATAGTATTACAGTGCTCTGCTTCATTAAAAACAGCCAGTAAATTGATTAATCTGAGCCCTCATATGCCTTCATAATTATAAGCCTTCCATGCTGTGAAAATAATTTGCAGAATCAGATTCTGAATTCATCACAGCATTTCAAAGATAAATGAAAAACAGCTTTGGACGAGTGCGATTAGTCATCCTTCTGCGCTCGTACGACTGCTTTGTGTGACTTTAAAATCACTGACCAGAAAGCCACCATCGTCTCCTCCTCCTCCCGTCTCAGCCTGACGCCTTACCCCCCACCGCCATCGCAGCACTGACTGTATTAACTCCATCTGTGTGGCTCTGTTAAAGTTCAGCTCCATGTCACATTACTTTTAATGACCTGTCAAACCCTTGAACCATTTTTATTTTCTCATTATGTTGTGAATATTTGTTTTGTTAATCTTTTATGTTTAACCACTGTATTTTGTAAATGTTTTACAAATAATAATATGCAAAAACTCATATTAATTTGTAATAGGTAGGTATTGGCCTGATATATTGGGAAATGCTGCCAACATCACCATAGCAATATTCCCACCAATGTGGTGTCCATCCCTTATTTAAAGTCAGAGAGGTAACCTTCATGATGTATCTGATGATTATAGGGGCTTCTGACAAAAAATACATATTTTCCTTACAACTATACTTCTAATTCTCCATCAGAAGTCTCCATATTAACTTGTAGTCTGCTAATTAAGTTAATGTGCCGATCACAGCCAAAGATGATGAATTAAAGCAGGCACTGGGCCAAACAGTCTCAGCTCCAGCCGTAGCTCAGCAGCTGCGTCACTGTAACTTCAGATCCATCTGATTTATTTTTCTCTCCTTCGCCTCGGCCTTGGAGCAGTGAGAGCAGCAAAACATAAGCCCACCAACAAAATGTCACCAAGCTTGTAAATTGTAAACTGACATACAGACAAGACAAGCATAAAAACATACTAGATTATGTCTGGCTAAAAACACATTTACTCAATAAAGAAGTGAATTGGCAGTTGTCTGTTGTTTCTAAGCTGTATATGATTGCACAAAAGGTTGATGTTGAGGAGATATTTCCACTGGAAATAGTTAACATATTTTACCTTTTTTCAATCTAATTAACATTAACAAAACAAACGGCTGTTGTTTTTAATGTGTTTATGTTTACTTTCTGTCCTCCCTTTATTTGTTGTAAGATCCCCCTCTCCCATTCATTTTTCATGTTTTACCATGTCATTAATGTATGCATTTTTTTCACATTTGGTTTATTTCTGCTTTGGGGTAGAAAATGCTTGTAATTATTTAAATGCAATGTTTTTGTGTTGTATAACCATTAAGAATCCATACTTCATCTTAATTAGAAAGCAGTACAACAAATATGTAGGAGTCCATTTTAAACCCAAATGTGTTGGACACTCTATTCAACACAAGTACATTGAAGGTGATAATCTCCCTATCTTCCTTTCTTTCTTTCATCAGGGCCTTCGTGTATCTGAGTAACCTGCTGTACCCGGTGCCACTGGTGCACCGCGTTGCCGTAGTAACGGAGAAGGGTGAGGTGCGCGGTTTCCTGCGTGTGGGGGTCCAGGCCATAGCTGGTGAGTAATTAATGAGGCTCCCAAATGAGCTGTTACAGACGCAAGCCTTTTCCACACCCTACAGTATAACCCATGATGTCATTTTACTGTTTTAAACACACCAGCTGCAGTAGTAATCATTTGTGGAAAGTTGATACACCCTAAATGAACATTTACTCAACAAAATATATCATAACATACATAAAAATAGAATCTCAATGTTGCAGGATGGCCTAGGGGTTAGACTTCTGCACATCATGAGATCTGTTCCCATTTCCAAGTATTGGCTGAAAGTTTTTCCTTGCTATCTCTCCCTGTCCACAATCGTTAATGTCCATTACAGTAGAGCTTATGGGTGGTGTAAAAATGAATAAATAATATATAATTTTGTAGCTTTTAGTATCAAGTGAATGATTTCAGTTTTACACACACAACATGTTGCGTTGATGACATTTTTTTTTCTTTTTTTTGCTGAAGTACTTGATGTGAGAGCTACAGAAACTGCATTCCTTTGATGTGCTGTCAGTTGCAGTCTGTTCTGAATACTACTGTAGATCTT